GGACATTGACCCCCTCCAAGCAGCTTTTGGACTGGATCCAATGGAAGTGGACCCGCTAGCATGTCACCGGAGGGACTGAACCCGAGCACGACCAGGAAGGTGAAAAGGAGGGGGCACCACCGTCAGAGTTACCCATGGAACAGAAATTGGTCACTATAGTGGATTGGCTGATGGCTAATCTCAAAGCAAAACATGGCCCCCTCCCGGACGACTTCTGGGACAAGACATACTTGGAGCTATTCCCCATGCTGGACACTAGCGCCTCTCTGAAAAACGTGTTGGAAAAAGGACTACAACCGGGGGTGAAGTGGTCAGAGGCATGGCTCAGATTGGATACAATAGTGTTAGCATGGTTTCAAGTACCACATACCGCAGCAACAGAGGAAGCGAGCCACAACGGAACACAAGAGGAGCCCTCGGATATGCAACAATCTGCCCCGCCCTCGGGGCCGGACCTAGCTTCCCAACACCCAGCCCCACCACCGGGCCCGGACTCGGAGGAGAACGCGCCGCTTGACTTGGTGCGCAAAAGAAAGCTGAGGGAGATTATCGAGATGGGTGGTGACACCGGACCCCTGTCGCAGGAGGCTGCGCTGCTCATCTCGGTCCGGAGAAAAAAATGATAAATGGGAAGTGGGCTTGTCACCGGTGGAAAATGGCAGATACGGGGGCGTGACGTTGCAAGGTTGGGCGTCATTCTGGGCAAACCCAAAAAACTATACCTCTGAGACAGCGGTAGAGATTCTGCGAATGGAGCTGGAATCCCACATTGCAGAAGCCCTACCGCCTGGGGCTCAGGCTATGGCCGCAATTGCAACAGACCCCAACAAGATTGCGCAGAGGGACATTTACATACGCTTTGACCCAACCAAAGAGAATAGCCTTAGATGGCACACCCACAGCCAACTGTTAAACCTGCAGATGGTTAGGATTAGACACAACGACACTTGGTGAGAGCACGACGTGCAGAAGAGCCTGTGTGCGCTACTCAGGATGACGGCGGGGGCCACAGACTGGGAATGGGAACAACTGCCTTGGACACGTGTGTGATTCATTAAAGGCCAGGACATGATTGCAAATTAAGTAAATGGATCCGATTAAAGCAGTATGGGAAAGACCGAATTTGGAGCCAATGCAAAAAGGCAGCAGACCTAGACCTGCGGTCACTGAATGTAAATAGTCTAGCCTCGAGCAAATCCGAAAAGCACAATGCAATTTGGGACCTAATGAGAGGGGTGGGGGGTAGAAGCTGGCCAGACAGTGTGTGTGTCCAGGAAACACACTTGATGGACACTCCAGAACACAACCGTATACATAAAACGGTCTGGCCATATAAGGCCTTCAGAGCCCATGCCCCAAAACCTGGGAGTGCAGGGGTAGCCATTTGGATCCCCTCTGAATCCCGGGCAGATCCTGTATATTGGTCAATGGATCAGGAGCAGGGCCGATGGGTGTCAATCCTAGTCACCTTGGAACTTGAAATAGTATGCATATTGTGCGTCTATGCCTCTAATGCGGTAAATGAAAGGAAAATCTTTTTTGAAAATATCAAATCACATATCCCGAACGGGGTCCCAGTCATCATAGCCGGGGATTGCAATCCAGCCCCGGACAGGTGGATGGACAGATGGCGAACACCCTCCCCTGCCCCAGGGTACGTAGAAGAAGATGAATGAATAATCAATGAGCTATGCCTATCACTCAAAGTGTTCGACACCTTCCGCAGATTAAACCCAGACACAAGATACTACTCATGTCTACGCAAAACTGGGATGGAGAATCAGACGAGATCTATGATTGATCTAATTCTAACCTCGGAAGATTTGGAGGGATCTCTGCTTCTTGCAACCATCTTACCAGCCAGCCCCTACCCGAGTCTGGATCACAAAATGTGCACGATCATTTTATCCTTCCGTAAGAAACCAGATCGCGGTCCAGGATTCTACAAACTGAACACTTCGATCTTACAACAACAAACATTCCATAAATACATTACAGACTGCTGGACACATTGGCGCACACAAAAACAGCATATCCAACACAATATTAACTGGTTTAATAATGGATTGTTCTATCTGGGTAAAAAATGTCAGGAGTACTCCAAACTGTTAGCAGTAAAGAAACACCAGCAAGAGATGGAAATTCACCAGTGACTGCAGCAACTGGAACATCAAGATCAACCCGATGACCCACACAACTCACACGTAACTCAGCAGACACAGCAAAGGAAGAACTCAAGAGGGCACAACCCACAGGAGACTCAGCAGGTACAACAAGAGGAGGACTCAAGCGCCTAGATACTGAAACAACAACTTCAGATGTTTGCCACACAACGTTGGGAGGGAGCACGCATCCGTGGACGCCTGGCACGATACCAAACAGAAGGGGCCATGGACAAAAAATTCTTCAGTATGGACCGGGTGCGGGCACATAGATCCACCATAGAAGCATTTTATAATCAACAGACCGGTCATAATGACATCGTTGCCTCCACTCCTCGATGCGTGCAGATAGCAAGATCCTTCTTCAAGGATCTATTCACCTCGCGGTGCGCACAAAGGGGGAAAGACATCAGAGAAAAGGAAATCGAAGAATTTCTCAAACCCCTAGAGAAGACCCTGACAGGCCAGCAAAAAAAAAGATCTGGACCGCCCCCTGTCCAAGGAGGAAATTTGGACGGCAATGATGCAAATGGAGGAGGAGAAGACGCCAGGTATTGATGGACTTCCTAAAGAGTTCTGGGAGACCTTCTGGTCCCACATGGCCCCGGACCTGATGGACTTCTATAATCAGGTGTGGGAGACTGGGCAGATGGGCAAGCTGGTGGGACAGGGTGTTCTCACCCTGCTGTACAAAAAAGGGGACAAGATGGACATCATAAACTACAGACCAATAACGTTGCTAACGGTGGTGTACAAAATGTTAGCGAAGGCCCTGGCAAACCGCTTGATTCCGGTCCTGGAAGACATCATTCACCCAACACAGACTGGATTTGTCAAGGGGCATAGGATCCATGACAACATCCTATTAGTCAACGAACTTCTCAAACTCACAAGACAAGACAAACAAAACGTGGTCGTGGTCTTCATCGACTTCGAAAAAGCCTACGACCACGTAGATTGGCAGTTTTTAGATAGATGCATGTGTAATGACCCGCCAAAAACACAGACTGAGAACACTGCTGATTTTTGGGATTTGCCGCTGGAATGAATGCCTTGTTGAAATTCCCACATTCTGCTGTGATTTCCATGTCTGTGTGTGTGTGCGTGCCTGCTGGTTTGCATGCCTGTTTGAGTGCTTGTCGGTTGAGTGTGTGTGTGACCCGCAAGGGTACTTGTTGGTTGCAAGGCCCCGCAGGGCCGGTACTTACCTGTGGCCGTGACTATGAAGGGTTGCAGGGGGAAAACACTCGAGTAGCGGGGGTAGGCCCGCGATACTTAGAGCAGAGGGGAAAAACACTCAAGTAGCAGGTAGGCAGATGCCACTGAAGTAGTGGTAGAAGTGTCGGGTACTGGAGGCCGAGCAGAAGAAGACAAAAAGTTGACATTTTTAGAGGCCCAGTAGCGGTAGGTTAGAGGAAGGCCGAGACCAGTCCAAGTAGCCCGGGTCTAGGGCCTGTACGGAGGATAGCAGAGCCTGCAATGATGTTTGCCTCCGAAAGGGAGGAGGTACTGGTTGCTGGGAGGCCGCTCGGCCTAGGAAGTCACCGCCCAGGTGGCCGGTAGGCCACTATATCTCCAGGAAGAGCAAGGAGTTCTTCCTCATTTGCGGTGTGCAAGGATTGGCGACATGCTGCTTGAGTGCAACGCTGGTCTGGTGCAACGCTGCTTGGAGGTGAAGGGCCGCTGGAGCTCAGCCTGGCTATGGCGAGCAGTTCAGCTTGAGGAGGAGGAAGAATGGGGCATGGTAGGAGAGTGGTGAGGCACTTACCTGACTATGGTAGACACCATCTTCATCACCTTGTTGGATGCTGCATCTAGAAGGCCCCAGTTGGGGTAGTGCTGCATCAAGGAAGCTCAAGGCAGAGTCAGGCATAGCGGACCAGTCAGCAGCGGCATAGCTGCTTTGGGTTGTCCTTTGGACATCAGCGCAACACCATAGCTGCTCAGGGTTGTCCTTAGGATGTCAGGGCAAGACCCTCATTAGTCCGTCATAGCCTATGCATGAGAGAGGAGGCTGAAGGAGGGAAGTCATAGCTATGGTGGACTAGTTGTTGTTGTTGTTGTTGTTGAGTTGAGTCAGCAGTAAGAGGGAACTTCGGATATTAATTCTGGTTCATCCATTCATTGTTATTATTATTATTGAGAGAAGAATAAGATTGGTGAAGTGAAGGAGGAGGAGGAAGGTGGAGAGAGAAGGGAGAATTGTCATTGGTCTTGCTGGTGTATACCTTCTTCTTCTTCTTTCCCTCTCCTCTGGTCTTTACTTCTTTCCAAGTGCTTTCATTTCTTTCGCAATTAGGTGGGATTGTCTTTCATTGTGAATTTGCACTTGGGAAATGACAAGGATCGTAACAATTGGTATCGGAGCAGACTTACTCGCTGGCGAGAGGTGTTAGTCACCCTAACCCTAATTTCAAGTTAGGTTAGGGCTAACCTAATCTCGGATTAGGGTTGGAAGTTAGGGTTGAGTAGGGCAGTGAGGTATGTGGATACTGCCCCCACCTGGTTAGGTCATGTAGGGTCGACATTTGACCTGACCAAGTTGCTTGAGTGAATGGATGGGGTGGCGAGACACAAAGGAGGCTGATTGGAGTAAGCGAGAGGGAGTAGAGAGTGAGAGGTACCCGCACCTGGTATCTGGACTTCAAGAAGAAATTGAGTAACTTTTGGGCTTCCCCTGAAGAGGGAGACTTGATCAGAGGCTGCCATATTTGCATCGGAGAGCTGCAAGTTGCTACTTTGGTCTTCAGACATCGACGGGGGATCCGGCTTTGCAACAGGGGTGTAGGAAGGCCCTCTTAGTCATGCTAGGACACTTCGTGTAGTGGTAGCTAGGGGTCAGGAGGACTTATAAGAGAGGGGGGTGAGTCGTTATCTATCTTTGGAGGTCGGGCCTCACAGGTAAGTGTCGTGTGACCTGGTTAGCCCGTGGGAGGTTGCTTGGTGCTTCATGGCCTGTCGGGCGTATGCTGGGCTCTCTTCCTCCTCTCTGCGGTCTTGGCTGTGTGTGTGAGCATGTGGATTGCTTTCTCACTTGATGGATGGATGGATGATGTATCTGTTCTAAATGACATATCTTTCTACGGTGCAATGTCTTATCATTTCTGAATGGTTGTAGGGGTAAGTTCTTGCTGAAAGTTGTCTTTTCCTTTTCAGTACGGTAGAGGCAGTTTGGGACCGACTTGGTACCCCTATCACGTTGGTCCTGGTCCACGACCTACTTGGGACCCCTCGGGACCCAGTGGGACCAGGCCCAACGGGACAGGACCTCTCGGGCCCAGATCTGTTGCCGCCTGTGCATCTCTTTGCTACGCTGAACTTGGGGGACATACGACTAGCAAGGGCATTCCTTTCAAGGGGATCTTGACTGGTCTTACTGCATGTTATCACATACTGCCCCGCGTCTGACTCGGCGACCGTGTGGACCCCTCGAAATCTCCATTGCTGCAGTTAGTTTTCTTCGGCTGATTTATTGTGATACATGTCCCTTGTCAGGTTAGACAAGAGGGGATCTCCAGCTAATCTGATCGGGCCCGTTCTATGAGTCATTCCTCTCGGCCGTTTTATTTTTATTTTTATTTATTTATTTATTATTTTTCTGCTGCGTGCCATTCTCTAAGTCCAAATGAATCGCCGCTCCGACTAGGAGTTCTACCTTCTACTCTGTGTGATTTACTGATTGTTTCTTTCATCTGAACTATCTATGTCCGGTATTGAGACGCGTGCGCAGACAGCGAGAAGAGAGAGAAGAGAGAGAGAAGGTGTTCTGTTTGAGAGTGTGAGGAAGGGCAAGCGGAGTGTTCGTCCAAACGTGAGAAGAGAGTGGACCCCTCTTGAGAGAACTGCTAACACCCCTTCCTCCGGCATGGCAGACATCACATCTGCCCAATGGCAGGTAATGCTGGACGCAGCAGATGAGAACGAAAAACCGTTCCTCCAAAAGCTTTATGATGATGCCGTGAAGAGGGAAAGGGAGGTAGAGGCAGCAGCTAGAGCCACCAGCATTGTTGATCAGGTGGCCCTCCTTTGGGTCCCGGAAGCGAACGCTGACCGGTTTCAGGAGAAGCTAGCTGCTGCCGTAGCAGCCTTGGTTCGACTGCGGAACTTAGAAGACCTTGAGTCCCGTGTAACAGCACTGGAGCAGCGAAACCAAGAGCTGCAGGCTAAGATCATCAGCCTCAAACAGTCCCAACTATCTGCCCCCTGCCCTCCTAACCCTCGACCTGCTGCAGTCCCAGTCTCTCAATCTAAGACAACCCTCATGGCAAGAGCAAGTGGAACTGTGACGGGTGCAAGAACCGGTGCCAGCTCCTCAAGCAGCGGCGCCGACAGTTCTGCACTAGCCATAGTCCCAAATGCAGGGACATCAGCCCAAAACGCGACAGTCCTTACTGGCGTTCAGTACAACGGTCCCGTAGTGGACAAGCGGGCGGCCACCTTGCCGTCCAAGTACGACGGGAAAGCGGATATCACTTCTTGGATTAGTTCCATGCGTTCATACTTTGAGGTCATGCGGACACCGCAAGAAGACCGAAGCATGATCATGGGCACTAATACTGAGCCCGCCGTACAGAGTCACATTGAGCTCCAAGCTGTTGTTGCAGGTTATGAAAGAATTGACCTGACCGAGTGGCTGAAAGTAACTCCTATACGCGCCCTTGAGGATCTTCTCATCGCACGGTACCAAGATAAGCATGCTGCGCTCAAGGCTAGGCTGAAGCTTGAGGCCCTCAAGGGCCAAACATGGAGGTCCTCCATGCAAGCTTTGGAACAACACTTGACTGGTCTGTTCACCACTCCAAATCTGGGAATGACCGACGTGTCTTGTATGGATGTAGTCATGGGAGTGGCCCCTAAAGAATACCTCTCCCTGTTAGCACTCAAAGACCATACCTCCTGGCGAGAGCTCATGATGGATCTAGTCAACCTAGAGACCAAGGACCTCGCCAGGCGGAAGAAGGCGCCCGCTGCAGGTGGAAAACCACAATGCAAGCGGTATGGAAGCAGCAACCAGCTTGCCCAGCATGAACATCGAGAGGCTGAAGATCAGTCCTACGTGGATAATCTGTCTCTAGATGACGATCTAGAGCCGGACTCCGATATGGGCTGTTCCACATCAGCCATTGAGTCTGACGTAAACGAAGACGAAAAACTTAATGTGTTTAAAAAGACTGCTTCAAACAAGGGGCCTAACCGTGGTTCAGGTAAGGGAACTGTTGTCCACCTCCCCAAGAATGCGAAGATCCCTGAGAAACCGGAGGACGCATCTACCAAGCGTCAGACTCATCGCGTCCCGTTCATTGAAACCACGGGCGACACCCCGCCCGACCTACCTCCCCAGGACCCTCATCCTTCAGGGTCCCACAGCGACATCACGTTCACTTCCCCTCATCAGTTTGCTCACTTCATATGACAGCAGGACGTCACGTTCTACTCAGTGAACGTCATGGATCTTCTTCGCTATGATCCACTCTGTCCCGAGGTTGAGCTCATCTCTCTGGAGCCCGATCCCCCTAACCCTCCTCCCATCTTCGCGGCTCACATCTCTACATCCACTCGTCAGCCTGCGAATACCCCCTCCACGTCTCAAGCCCCTGTGTCGTCGACTGTCGAGTCCACACATACGTCTCGTGCTGACGCCGACGTTGACGAACTCACACGGTTCACAGCAGACTTAGAGTCTGCCGTTCGCGACCTGATTCGAGAGTACTGCGATGCTTCCCCCAGTATTTCTCATACAGCGGGATTCCCCCGATGCGCGGTGTTGAGCATTCTATCCATCTCGTGCCTGACTATCGTGTTCACTATCAGGCACCGTACCGACTCTCGATTCCAGAGGCGACGGAACTCAAGCGTCAGCTTGAGAAGCTCCTTCGACTGGGTTTCATTAAACCGAATAACTCCCCTTGGGGTGCACCTGTCCTCTTTGCTCGCAAAGCGGACGGAACACTCCGCCTCTGCATCGACTATCGCGGCCTTAACTGTTACACGGTTAAGAACAACTATCCCATGCCCCGCACAGATGAGCTGTTTGATCGTCTAGCAGACAACCGCTTCTTCATGAAGATCGATCTTCGTAACGGTTACCACCGGATCCGCGTTGCCGCAGAGAACCAGCCGAAGACCGCCTTCCGGTCGCACTTCGGCCATTACGAGTTCACCGTGACGCCATTCGGCCTCACCAATGCACCCGCCACCTTCCAAACGGCGATGAACAATATCTTCAGGGACATCCTTGAGAAATACGTTCTCGTATACCTGGACGACATCTTGGTCTACAGTCGTACCTTAGAAGACCATATTAGACACCTCCGCGATGTCCTACAGTGCTTACGCAAGCATGGCTTCTATGCCAAGCTCATTAAGTGTCACTTTGCCCAGCGCAAAGTGGACTTCCTAGGACACCATGTGTCTGATCAGGGTTTCCACATGGACAACGCGAAGATCACTGCTATTGCAGAGTGGCTGTCCCCACATCTGCCAAGCAGCTTCGCAGTTTCCTAGGCCTCACCAACTACTATAGTAATTTCATTCGGGGATACGCTAGGTATTCCTACGTCCTTACCTCCACCCTCCTTCGGAAGAACCCGCCGTGGTTTTGGACACCCCTCTGCGAGGACGCCTTCCACGCCCTCAAGAAGGCGGTGACTTGTGCACCGGTTCTTCGTCTCCCTGATTTTGATCGCCCCTTCATCGTCACCACCGATGCGTCAAATTTTGCAGTAGGAGCAGTACTTTCCCAGGTGTTTTCCTCTCCTCCTGATTCACCTTATCAACATGTGTCTCCCTTCCCCCCCCTTTTTGCTTGACACTGCTTCTCGACTGATGCCTATCCTACCACCACTTCCCTCCACTTACAGCCCTCCCATTACTTACTCCCCGACCATCGCGGAGGATGGGACTGTCGAGGCTCGTGCTGGGGATTGCCCAATCACCTTCTACTCCCGTCAGCTACTGCCTGCCGAGATAAACTACACTGCTGATGAATGTGAGGTTCTCGCAGTAGTTTATGCTACCCGGCATTGGCGTCATTATCTGCACGGGGCGCCCTTCACGGTATGCACGGACAACTCACTTGTCCAGGCTTTCCTCACGAAGCCCAAGCTCTCCCCTCGACAGGCACACTGGTGGCGTGACTTATCCGAGTTCAGTTTCACCACTCAGCCCATCAAGGGTGAAACGAACCGCGTCGCCGATGCCTTGTTCCCCCGTCCTGATCACAATCAGGAACCCATCCCACCACTGTTGATCAGTCGGTGATCGACGCATATCGCACCCAGTACCGTCACTGCCCGGATTATCGCGTCATCCACGCGACCCTGTGGAGTGGTAAGACCGTTCCCTCATACTCCCTCGGTGAGAATGGTCTCGTGTACTGGCATGGCAGATCTAGTCAGCTAGAACCACGTATCTGCGTTCCCTCCACCGGACAGCTCCGCGTCCAGGCTGTAGCAGAGTTCCATGACTAGGCAGCTGTCAGTCATATGGGCTTCCACAAGACGTTGACTCGTGTTTGCCACCTATACGTCTGGCCGAAGTCTAAGGACTTCGTCAAAGCCTACATCCAGGAGTGTCCTACCTGCCAGGAGGTGAACAGTGCGAACCACCTTCCGTATGGGTTGTTTCAGCCCCTTCCCATACCTCAGGGTCGTTGGCAGTCCATCCACCCACCCACTGTGCGAGGTCATGATGCTATCTTGGTCGTCGTCGATCGCTTCACGAAGCGTGCACGTTTTGTCCCGTGCTGCTATCGTATTAGTGCTCGTCAGGTCGCCGACATCGTCTTCGACCGAATCGTGAAAGATCACGGCTTACCTCAGAGCATCATCTCCGATCATGACCCGCGCTTTACCAGCACATTCTGACGACGCCTACACGAGGTGTACGGATCCCAGCTCCGCTTCTCATCGTCTTACCACCCTTAGACGGATGGTCAGACTGAGGTCACCAATAAAACTCTCGGTAATATCCTCCGAAAGTTTGTTAGGGATGACCAGCAGTGAGACTTACACTTAGCCCACGCGGAGATTGCGTACAACCACGCTATTTGGCCAGCCACGGGGATGTCGTCATTCCATTGCGACCTTGACTACCACCCTCGCGTACCCGCGGATTTCCTACGACCATCGCGGTTGCGCCCGGACACTCGTTGCCTTGCGCTTGACGACTGGATTGCCCACATGGCGACGATTATGAAGCGCGCACACGAGAGTCTAACCGACTCCCAGACTCGCATGGTCGCACGAGCGAACCGATCACGAATGGATCATCCATTTAAAGTCGGTGACGATGTGCTTGTCGACGCACGCCACTTACAGCTCGAAGCAAATACGCTTCGCAAGTTCAGGCATCGTTTCTTCAGTTTATGCCGCATCCTTTAGGCCGTCGGTTTTGATACTGCCGTTAGTCCGGTCAGCTTCCGTGTGAAGCTACCTGATTACCTTCGACAGGCTCGCGTACACGATGTTTATCATATCTCCTTGCTGCGTCCTTATCGTAGACCATCCGAGCGCTTTGCCGGACGCCCTTATGAGCGCCCTCCACCTATGATGGTGGACGGTAACTAGGAGTTCGTTGTTTCCGACATCGTATCACGCCGAGTTACCGACGATACCCCTCCACGCATCGAGTACCTTCTGCGTTGGAAGGGCTACCCTGATGAGGAGGCTACTTGGGAGCCCCTTGAGCACTTGAAACACGCCAGGATGTTGGTGCGTGCATATGATCGTACTCGTCGTGCTGAGATATCTGCCTCTGCTCAGCCGACTGACCCTCTTCCTCCTCCTCCGGCTGAGGAGATTGCTGAGGACGAGCCCGCTCCCTCTTAGGCCGTTCCTCAGCCGCAGACGGTCGCCTCCGAGGCCGTTCCTCAGCCGCAGACGGTCGCTTCCAAGCCCGCTCCCTCTGAGTTGTGTGCATGTTTCCCTCACCCACTGGCCTCATAACCCTAGCGCCGGCCGTTGCATGCCTTCAGTTAGGCATATCTCCTTATTCCAGGCTCCCTCTTTTCATGGTCGACCCTGCAGGGTATCACCCTTGCCGAGCATTACCCGCCTTGATGGTCTATCTGTTAGGGTCATTGGTTTTGTTCACTACCATTCCCCTACCTCGAGCCTGATGACCTATCCCACCTTTTTGTGTGACTGCCCTTAGGAGTTTCGATTCTTAGGCTGCATTCACCCCCCTATGAGACCATCCCACTCTTAGTGGTTTAGCGACACGACATGACCTTGTGACATATTGCTCTATTTTCCTTTCAGTACCGAGGCAGTTGCCTCTAGGACTCTAGGATTGTACCACGCTACATTTCATTTTCTGCTATTAACCAGGATGTGGATATCAGACATTTGTTTTTTTGTATGACATTATGTAGCTTAGGCTGCATCGCATGGACTCCGCATGGAGCTTGCTCCGCATCCTAGAGTTCTCAGCTTTCTTTGTTGCAGAGTTCCGCTGCTTTAGCGGATAGCGTGTTTATGGCTTTTGCGATCCACTACAGGTCTAAAGATCGTGCAATGGGCCTCTATCTGCCCTGGCCTACAGCCAGGGCCTATCTGGCCATTTTCCCTGTTCGGCCTGTGGGACCAGGCCGTGGACTGATCCCACAGGCCGTGTGGTTATTCAGTCCAGATCAGTCCTGCCCGGTACCACTGTCGGTACCAGGTCAGTCCAGTCCAGTCCAATTAGTCCATTGGGGGTATACCCCAGCTGCAGTCTGTTTTGTGGCTCATTCTTCATTTGCACAGATTGGAGTACGTGCGTGTTGAGTCTGCGTTGGAGTTGCGCTGTCCCTTCCATCTCCATCTCCATCTCCCTTATCCTCATCCCTTCGTCTTCATCCTGACGGACCGCCATCCCAGCGGGTCCGTCACACTGGTATCAGAGCAGGCTTTCCTCCCTGCTCCTCTCCCCCACCCACCCCACCTATCAGT